GTTCTCCTTGCACAAGTTGCTGGATGGAGGGCAAGGGGTGCTGCTCTTCGGCCGGGACATCCTCTCCCCTGCAGGTGGCACATGCTCCAGACTTCCTTCTGCAGCATGCATTACAAATCCACACCTTCCTGCCAGCCATGCCAGTGCACGCCTGAAATCCCAGCACTCTGAGTGTCAAGGTGGGAGGGTTGCAAGTTGGAGCCCAGCCCGGGCAACTTAGTTTCCAATTTTAGAAGGGGCTGGAGATGGAGCAAAGGTTCTGGGTTTGATCCCCAGTACCACACACACGCACACACGCACACGCACACAACGTTACCTTCTCTGTGTCCTTGACACAGTGAACCCTTAAGGAGAGTGTGTCTTTGCAGTGCTGCCAAGCTTAACGAGTAGAATTCCAGGTTGCCCAGTTAAATTTGAGTTTCAGATAAGCACTGAAATTTTCCAGCATCAGCTTGCTCCATCTGGGGCATGTTTGGGGTAACCCTTGGGACATGCTGATGCTGAAACAGGTTGTTTCTCATCTGGATTCGCTTAACTGGTGCCGTGTTCTGCTGGAGCGCTGTGGGTTCACTGATCCAGGGCCCAGCACTGCTGCCACTTTGCTTGGGAACAGGCTCAGGATTTAGGAGCTCGGCAAAAAAGTCGCCCTACAGGGAGCTCCAGAGGAGGCTAGCTGAGGAGGGTAAACTGAGGCCCAGGCAGAGTGGGCAGGGAGAGACACCTCCTGGGAGGGCTCTGCTCTGCTCTGCTCTCCTGGCTCATTGGCAAATGCACAGCAGGAGGCAACTCCCCACCCATGGCCTCCCCTCTCCGCCCAGTGGGCAGAGGCCTCTTGCCCTGGGCTGCCCCTGTTTGGCAGGAACCTGTGTGCAGCCAGCGGGGCATTGAACCAGTGTTCAATGACGACTTTGTCACATCTCCATGTGGGACCTCAGGACCATGCCTTGCGGCCACCAGTGAACACCCAGCCATGCTGGACTCACTGTCAATGCGTCCTCAGGAAGTGGGTGGCCCCTCCAGACCCCATCCTGCATGACGGGACACCCCATGGAGTAGAGGGATGAAACAGCTCAGTCCTGGGTTCTCTCCTCAGGAGGACGAGCTCATGAGTACGTTAGGGTACCAGATCTGCCCCTGCCTCTGGTGCTGAGCCTCCCCCAGCTGCAGCCCCAGATGGCGCCAGGGAAGGACATCGTGTCCCTCCAGGCAGGAAGGACCCCTCGGGCCGCAGCTCAGTGACTTTTCCTGTGGGGTCCATGAGGTGGGGGACAAGCCTGCCCTGCCTCTGCCCCCAGCCGGAGCTGAGGGGACACCTGTACTCCAAATACTTAATAACCTGGAAAGAAACCTCTTCCTGAAGTCGGTGTTAATCCAGATAGTGTGAGGTGTGTGTTGAACCATACTAGAAGGATTTCCATTTGTGGGGGGGAGCACCACCCAGGCGCGTGCACACCCACGTCTACAGCGCTGCTGAGCATGTTCCATTTCTCATTCAAGGCAGTGGGGGTAATCATCTGTCATGGATATGTGGGTGCTGTTCCTGTCAGAGTCCGCTGATAATGATAAGATGCCCTTTCTTCTTGGTATGAAAGAAGCATTTTCTTATATTTGTCCTCAGTGCAGCCTGCTGTCTCTCCTGCTCCCTAAGGTGGCACAGGGAGTGGGCTGTTTTGTTCCTGTTGTCAAGTGTACTTACATCAGTCTAACAGCTACATCCAGAGACGTGCTGAAGCATACATTTTGTTATATAAATTGTTTTTATAATGATCAAAAGTTACAGATGAGATTTGTGAGCCCCCAAGTCAGCAAACAACACTGGAACAATTTGCAAATGGAAAGTAAAAGCAGAATGCTAGCAAACCTATCATTCTTGTTCTTGTGATGACTTTTTCACTCTTACCGCTCTCCAAAATTGGTTTCCAGCCTCATTCAGTCACAAATGACTCTCTAATGTGGGCAACACTTGAAGGACAAAAACTAGCACCAAAAATATTTTCATAAATTATTCTAGAAAATGCTTAACGGTTTCCTTTTTACAGTTTCTGGAGCTACCACCAGTTCTGCATAGAAAAATATTGTTTAGTCTCTGGCAACTGGGATGCCACAGTGGAGCTATCGCCAGCAGCTGGAAGGCAATTCCAGAGTACAGGGACTTCCAAGTGGCTGGGCTCGGGGAAAGGTCACCTTGGAGAGAGCATGGACGTGGCACCTGCAGTGCAGTGGAAGAGCCTGGCCCATCACTTCCAGCCTGGGCTGTGCCCCCAACTCTCTGTCCTGATGCTCAGGTCCAGGGCTGTATTTTTGCGGACAGCTGGCCTTCCTGGACACAAGGTTATAAAATGCTCGGCCAGTCTACGTCTTTTAAAAATCTCCACTAGCTAATAAGGCTAAAGTGGATTTTTAAAAAACTATGTAAAAAAATACAGCCTCTGCATACCTTGATTTCCGCATCCGAGGGTTTGTCCAACCACAGATGAGAAATATTCACCAAGAAAATTCCAGAAAGTTTAAAAAGCAAAACTTGGATTTCCTGTGTGCTGAGACCATGAGACTAATGGGATGAGTGGCCCTGCTGTGGCCTCCCCAGGGCTCAGGTCGCCGGGCACCCAGCCGTGTCACGTGGGCAGTGTCGCATGGTGGCTTCCTCTGGACTGGGCCTGTCTCTGTCCCCTGAACAAGGCAGAGCAGCAGCCATTCACCCGGACTTCACCGTGCTAGGCGTCCTAACATAAAGTACACGGGGGTGGGGGGCCGTGCACAAGAGACCCGCAAATCCCGCACCATTCTACAAGGATCGTGGGCAGCCCTGGGTTTGGGGGTCCTGGGCGGTCCTGGCCCCCTCCATGGTACTGAGGGACGGCCAGATGTGGCAACAGAGGACTAGACCTCGGTTCTCTTGTGGACACTGGCTGTATTTCACCATCTTGGAGTTAAAAGCACGAATTCTGCAGCCACGCTGCCTGGGCTCAGGACAGCGCTCGGCCCCCCGCTGTCCACCATGCAGGGGCTGGGCCGGCTTGGCATCCAGGATGGCTGAGACCCGCTTCTGTGGACTGCTCTGAAGATTCACCGCTGACTGGCCTTCTCACTTGCTGGGGTAACAAGTCCTCGGCATCATCAGTCTGCCTGAATGTGGCTCCATCTCTTAAAAGTGCCTGCCTTTGAGACTGAAGAGTTGAACGGCAGACTCCGAGCCCTGGGCACAGGTGTGAGTGCCTCCTGCCGGCCCTACGCTCGTGGCCCCAGGCTGTGACTGGGAGCCCCGGATACCGGGTTGGGGACACGAGTTCTTCCTGTGGTTTGCCGAGTCTAGGAGCCAAACTTTGTTTACCACTAAGACCATGGGATGATGGTGTTACACAGAAGAGACCTGCTCTCCTGGAAAAGACCTCCCAGCAAATCAGAAGAAACCAAGTATGAAATCCAAGCTGCCCAAGAAATAGAAGGGGGGAAGGGTAAAGAGTCTATGCTTCTGCAAAGGCAAATGTGACTCTGTCCAGAACCTTTGTCAGGCCCGGCGCGTCCACCTACAGCCACCGCAGGGCCGTCGGCTCACCTGACACTGCGTGACACTCATACGTGTGTGACACAAGTGTGGGGAAGCAACATGCTCACTTGCAGGCCGTGGGGGAGTCTCCCGGGGGAGTCGCAGGAGCCCCACAGACCATCTGCTGGAACCTGCCCAGTGGCTGGGCCGTGTGCTCACCTGTGCTCTGCGTGGCCCGGGGCCGGGGGCGGGGGGCTGCGGTGGGGTCCGTTCTTTCCTGTCCCCTGTACCCACCTTGCATCTGTTTCAGGCGGAGGGGAGGGAGGGTGGAGCTGGACTACATCATCGACCTTCATTTAAAGACAAGTCATTTTTAACAGAATAACTTTAAATCTGTAAGAGTCTTCACTTCATAAAATTTAGACAGTCCAATTTTTTTCTCTGATTTTTCCATTTTTAAAGTAAATCAGAGCAGGGTATAGTAGTGCACACCTGTAATTCCAGCACTCAGGAGGCTGAGGCAGGAGAATTGCTTCGATCTTGAGGCCAGCTGGGCTACATAGTGAGTTCAAGGCCAGCCTGAACTACATAGTGAGACCCTGTCTCAAAAAAAAAAAAAGTAAATCAGAGAAAACAAATTATACGTAGAGCTTCCATGGAAAAGAAAGGGCATACTTTAATACCCAACAGTGAAGTCAGAACTGTTCCCCTAATATTTGTACACATTTTTGTAAAGAGGCCTCTGCAGTGATATTCAGTGTCCCATTATGATCCAAAACATAAGAAAATGATTGGTAATTTCTGTCCACATTATTCCAGTTTTTGATAAAGTAAAATTGAGTTGAACTGCCTTGTGGGAAGATTGCCAGTAAAGCCCAGGGCGAAAGGGCCCAGCGAGCCAGAGATTTGGGCTGGGGCTTGGGCCTGCCAAGCCCTCGTGGTCTCCCTGTGTGCTAACTTCCTACGAAATCTCAAGACAGAAGACCAGAAACCCTGATTTTTGAAGGGATTGGAAATAAAATCATCCGCATGACACTACAGTAGACCTGAGTCCTGAGTCTGCTCTTTTTACTCATGCTGCATAATCTGCTCACCTTTGCGAAAGTGAACCCTGACGGGGATCTGTTATGGGTTCCGTATGCAGAGCTGCCGGGAAGCTAACAGGACTTTCATGAGGCTCTTGGAGCCTTTGGCTTGCAGTCGGCAGCTGAGCTCGCTGTTCTTCGTGTGAGTCCCGGGCGTTTCTGCACTCGTTTTTAATGTGCAGTGACCCCAATTTCATTACCGGCCCTAAAAGTCAGGTTGCGAGGAGGCAGTTTTGTGAACGGCCTCCCTGTGACTCGGCTGATGCTCCCGCTTGTGCATGTGCGTCGAGAGTTTCAGCCCAAGATGGCCTTGTCCACAGCAGAGACCGGGCAGGCGGGGACGCCACACCTCTGCCGGGTCCCAGGACCACGCTGCCCGCCTTGCTGCGTGTCTACAGACGGCCTCTTCCCTTGCTCTTTTCTTGTAGCCAGAGCTACCTGCAAGCTGCAAGTGAGGTGCCTGTCGGTCACAGCTTGGACCCTGCTGCCAACTACAACTCCCCGAAATTCCGCTCCCGGAACCAGAGCTACATGCGGGCAGTGAGCACCCTGAGCCAGGCCAGCTGCGTGAGCCAGGTGAGGGTTCCTCTGAGTTCTGTGGCTCGTCCTCCAGGGGGGCTGCGATGGCCCGCCCCCAGTCCACATCCCTGCTCGAAGGCCGTGTGTCCTGTCTGGTACTCGCTGCGGCTGACCGAAAACCTGTCGGCTCCGTAAGATTAACTTTTGACATTTAACACTCTGTCATTGTTGCGTCGATTTCCCATGATAAGCCGTGACTGGGGGCTGGTTCCTCAGCCCTCCTTGTGACTTAGCACCAGTTGTCTTCCTCCTCCGAAAGTGGGGGCCAGGGAGAGTGTGTAGCCACAATGCCTTCCACTGGGTCCTCTGGGGGCGCCCAGGGGCCCACAGGCAGAGCTGCAGGCTGGCGGGAGTTTGTCTGGCGTGCGCATGACCTTGGGTTCCATCCCTAGCCCTGCACAAAATAGAAAACAGAAGTGCTGCAGCCCACCAAGGTGCTTGGTGTCACTAAAGACACACAAGCTGGGCTCATTCCGGCACGGCCTGTTTCCCGCCAGGCGCCGGGTCCCTAAGCAGGCTCAGGATCACCCCGGGAGGGTGGCATGAGGGAGGAGCCTGGCCACCCTCCCTTTGGGGTGACCGGCCCCGGGAGCCACACTTAGGATGAGCAGGCACAGTCAGGGACCCTCAGCCCAGGCCTCAGATTTCTAGATTTTGATTAAACGCGCTGCTTGCTAGTTTAACTAGCACTCCCAGAGAGCTTTACGCGGATGTTCTCTGGCCGAGGGCATAGGGCCCATGCTGCACACACCCTCCGGGAGCACAGTTAGCCGGGTAGCAAAGTCGGTGCCTAGTGGACACTGGCCACTGTCAGGCAGAGAGCCTGGACACCAAGTGCTCCACAACGCCACCTGTCCCTTGCCGTAATGACAGTGACGTATAGGAACTGCCGTCTGCCATTCAGTGTGTGGTGGCCTCCGGCTGTGGATGGTGCTAAGAGCGAGCTGACCAGGGCGGGGAATCTTTCTCGGCCACAGGCGTCCTTCCGGCCTGCGGTGGTCTCCATGTGGCAGCTGCTGCCCACCAGGAACTTGCACTCTGAACTTTTCCCTCTAAAACCCTCTGGGTGGTTCCTGCCCAATAGCTCAAGGACCTTACCTCTTTCGTCTGCCTAGATGCTGCTTTTCTCTTAGAAAGGGGCTTACATTTCTATTTGCAGCAAAGGCAATCCTGTGGATCCTTTTGCTAAGGACAAGGAGGGAGGCATTCCCATGTCTGCAGACCAGAACTGTCTGGAGTTAGTGCTCGGGGTCCAGTCCTGGGGGAACCAGGCAGGGGTCCTACCATGTCCCCACCCACCACCCTGCAAACAGTAACGCAGAGAGCAGCGGCCACACATTCCCTGAGAATAGACACGGCAGTCAGTTGGCTCACGGAGGAAACTGCCTGTGTTGGCATCTCGGAAGTCCAAGGTGGTTTGGTAAAGATTAGAACGGTCAGCTGAAGTCAGTGGTGCCCTGAAACAGCTTCCTCCACGCCCAGAGGTAGGCCTGCTAAAGCGGCCTTCCTTCTTTAAAAATTAGTACTATCCAAGAAAAAAAAAAATGGTACTTGCCCTGTCAGCAAGTGCGAGCAGCTTACCAAAATACAACTTCGACAACCAGTTGTGACCCACAGGGGTGTGAAGGGCAGAAGCGGCTTCCTCTGAGAGCTGCCGCTCCTCTCGGACCCCATACCCTGGAGAGCACCGCGCCTGCTCCAGGGCTTGTGCAGCCTCGCAGTGCACAACCTCGCTGTTGAGCAAGTGCCTGCCGCCTCCACCTCACTCTGCCTGGCGAGCCCAATGGGGTCTCCAAAAATGATGCGTGGAAGTCTCATCTTTTCACGCCTTTTCCACCTGGAAAGAGACGCGTTATAAACAGGGAGGCAGACTAACTCGGGCTGCGGGGTTAGAATTTGGAACCCTAGGTCTTTCTCATTGCTGGTGCTATGCCATGGCTTTAAATTGATCTGTGATTGAGCACTGTCCCTAGGCCTTTTTTTTGTTGTGAGGAAGGGTCTTGCAAAGATGCTCTGCTGCCCGGTCTGGGCTCAAATGTGAGATCCACCTGCCTCAGCCTTGCAGAGTGCTTGGGATTTCAGGTGTGTACTACCACACCTAGCTGAATTCAATTTAATTGTTAAAAAGTATGCAGTTACTTAAAATGATCCACAAGCCTGCTTGTGGGCAGCTGTACCTTACCCAGGTCACACTTGCAGTAACTCGGGGACTAGGAGCAGGAGGAGATCTCAGGAGACAGCGGCGACCCCCAGCATCAGGCCTGACGTGCCCAGGATGCAAGCTGTTAGGAGGCTACCCTGCAGGGCTCCGCTTTTCCTCCTGTGCAGAGCGAGGTACCCCTGCAGCCTGGGGACGCCCCGTCCCTCGGCCTCCCTCCCGGTAGGCGGCCCTGGGAAGGGGGCCTGGCAGCCAGGCTGGGGCACAGCATCTCACCCACACAGCACCTGGCCTCAGAGCACTGTCAGGTGTCTTAGAGCCCAGCCCCAGGGCACCCAGCTGGCCTCCCTGGGGTCTGTTGGAGGAGCCACAGGCACACGGGGCCCGCTACTCCAGCAGCGCAGCCCTGGCGGCCCTGAGGGGAAGTGGGAGCCACACCTCGCCTCCGTGGAAAACCCAGCCCAACAGCTGCACTGCAGCTCAGGCCACGTGCTCTCGTGGCCTCTCCTGAGCACTCTGCACCCCTGTCCTCCCCAGGGTGCACCTGCGGGGTGGGCAGCTGCCAGCACAACGGCTGGGCTGCACTCGGCAGTCCTGGGAGTGCTGTGACTGACTCACAGCGAGGCACCCAGAGTTCTGGCCACAGAGCCCCTGGAAGCCCTGGAGGAGGGTGAACAGGAGACAGCAGGTGCTCTGAGTGCTCCTGTCCTCGAGCTCCCACTGCCCTGTACTGCGCCCCCAGGGAGCCCAGCCCCTAGATAAGTGCTACCACGTGTGCATGCATGTCCATGCGCGCAGAACACACAGGAGGGCCCCGAAAGGCGGTCACTTCCAGAAGTGCAGGCCGTCCAACTGAGCCTCAGCCGGGACCAGTCCCGTCTCAGCTTCCCGAGCTTAAAGTTCCCCTCTCCCCGCCCGCCCTCCCATGTGGCTGTAGTCCTGTGTTCAGCTGACTGGGTTTCCCTTGCAAACTTCCAGCGTTACTGAGGAGACCTAGGGGAAGAGTGTCTGCCCACTGGCCGCCAGAGCCAAGACCGAGGCTGAGGGCCTAGCCCCCGAGCACCCGGGCTGGGGTCCCCCTCCCAGGGCCAGCACGTCCTCGAGGGCCACTGCAGGCCAGGCTCTCGGTGGTCCACACTGGAATTTAAGTCAGAACCTCCAAAAGCATGGCTGCATCTGGTCAGCGATCAGAGGAGGCCTCCGGGTTAAAACGAAGCTGGGGCTCAGTGCGCACCTCTGCCTCAGGCATCAGGAGCTGCTGTGCAGCTGTGTCACCCTCACGGGTTCTGGACTCCTGCTCAGATGGTGACAGGGACACCAGAAACGGCATTTCCGTGACAAGACAGAACTAAAGCAGCTGTACCTTGAACATGTGCTCCATGCCCAGACCCACCGGTCACCTGAGCTGCAGGGCGGAGGGGACAGTGGAGGGAGCTATGAGTGCACCCTGGCCAGGCGCCCGGGCTGCTTAGATTTCCGCTCAGTCTTCCTCCACTGCCAGCCACTGGGGGTCTGCAGATGCTCACCGACTTCGAGAGCTGGCTGGTCACCGCCGTGCTGTGCAGTTAACAGCCCAGCACACCGCTCCTGAGCTTGGCACATCTTCAGTGCTGCTAAAAGCACGTTGGGGTCCCCAGTTTCGGGAACATGGCCCTGTAACCTGCTAGGCCATTGCCGATTTGCTGTTGTTGATCGTTGCAGATGAGCGAGGCCGAGATGAACGGGCAGTTCGAGTCGGTGTGTGAGTCAGTCTTCAGCGAAGTGGAGTCTCAGGCCATGGACGCCCTGGACCTGCCAGGATGCTTCCGAACCAGGAGCCACAGCTACCTTCGAGCCATCCAAGCTGGCTACTCCCAAGACGATGAATGTATCCTCTCGATGATGCCCTCCAACGTGACCTCCACCATCAGGTCCAGCGCAGGTAAAGAGCGACCCCTTGAGCTCTGGTGGGACACCTGCAGGTGTGCTGCATCTCCCGGAGGGTGCACCGCACCACAGATGGCACTCACGCCCCCGCCACCCAGTCACCTGTCCAGAGCACCTGCGTTACAGATGCATTTGCAGTGGTGACCGCAAGCATTTCTCTCACTGGTAACTTTCTTTTCTTCTCAGAATGAAAATCTGTAAATTCTCGGGTCCTTTAAAACAATGCAGTGTCACTTTGTAAAGTTTTATGTAGAGAAGAGAATTCAAGCGCTGGCATCTGGAAGGCAGTGGTGTCCTAAATGTCACAGCACAGTGGGTGGCGTGGCAGCCTCCGGAACGGGGACGTGCAGTGGTCCCAAGGCACATGCATGGCGGCATCAGCCTTGGTCTTTGCTGCTCCGTCAGCAGATCCATCACCGTGTCCCGTGTCTGCCAAGAGCGTCCGCAGTTAGAGGAAATCCCCTCGCACCTGTGCACTCCAAGGGTCCATGTCAGTTTCCTTTGGTTTGTACGGAGCACCATGTCCATGCTGGGAAAATTTACCACCCAACTAAATGTCACTGCCTAGTATTTGACTGCACTATTATTATTTATATAACAATGAATGTACATTGCCCGGAGCAGCCCATAAAACACAGCAGTAAAGTTTGCTGCCCTGCACAGGAGGCCGAAGGAGGGAGGCTGTGAAATGTCACTGCTGAAGGGTGAGGTACCCTAAATGCTGTAAGATGATGGATGCTCCAGCTGCATCAAAGGGATTCAGAGGACAACTCCAAGAAAATTGGAACAACTTTTGTTCAAGAGAAATGTCAGGAGCCCAGAGCCAGGCACAGCACTTGAGAGGAGCAGGCATGGGGGCAGAGCAGAGTAATGGCCAGGGAGTTCCAGGCGTAATGCTGGAGTGCCCAGTGGCTGCAGACCCCAGCCACTGGTGCCAGACCAGGGCAAGGTCTGAGCTTTGGGAGGAACCCACTTCCTGGTGGGGCCACAGCCTGCTCCCTCAAGGTGCCTCTGGGAGATTTGGGGCTCCTTGGCTTTCCAGCTGTTCCAGAGTAATAGCTGGGACTTGTGTGCCTGAGTAAGGTCAGTGGCTGTAGGGCTGGGGGTTTAGCTCAGTGGTTCCACCACCTGCCTCGAAAGTGCAAGGTCCCCAGTTTGATCCCCAGTACCCCCCCAAAAAAAATCAGTGGCTGTTGTCCAGAGACAACTGTGGGTCCTCAGCATTCTTCCTCTGTGGCTCGGTGGCCCCGGAGCAGAGATCTTCATGATACTCTGGCCTCTAAGCCCGGGACCTGATTCAGGGAGGATCCTGGCACTGTGTCCTCTGATGATGTAAGGACAGGAAGGGGCAGAGCCCAGAGCTGGCCCCATGAGAGACCCGCAGGGCTGTGAAGGGCCAGCAGCCTCTCCAGCAGGGCTCTGCCTCCCACACGCCTATGCCATGTGCAGCTGGGGACCGCTCTGCTGCTCTACCCCAGGGTGAGAAAGAGGGGGAGCCTCTACTGGGAGGTTCAGGGAAGGGGTGAGCCCCCAACACTGGAGGCAGGGTGCATGTGTGTCAGGTGTTTGTTGAGTGTCTCTAGGATCGCAGGAATCCCTGAGTGCTTCGCTTATAGTCAGAAACATTCTGAAGCCATAATTACCTGGTAGGACTGACATTATGGAGAGAGTGAAAACAAAACAGATTTCACAGATAATGTAGGAGCCAGGGCTGAACCTGGGCTGACATTCTGACGTAGGTACACAGACGGTACCTAAATATGCACTGCATATCCCAGACAATGTGCAAATGCTTCTACTCAGCGCCTCCCTGGCTCAGGGCGCCTTACCTAGTCAGACTTTCCTCTGCCTGGTGGAAGGCGCCAGCATTACAGAACCGAAATGGGAAACCAGACAGTGCGGGAGTCCGTCCGTCCTGCCTGGCTCGGCACGTGAAAGCCAGCAGGACTGACCCAGTCCCTCCTAGCCCTCTTCACGCCAAATACCGCCAATCACTTGTGTGTAATCCTTCCCTGTTAAACAGAATGTAGGTGATTTGTAAAATAGCTTACTCAATAAGACTATGAAAAATACCAAAGAAGTTAAAGACTCCTATCTGGAAACCGAAAGTGGAGGGAAAGTACAAAAATGCCGGAATCACCATGATAGCTGAACACCAGCCTTGATTCAGGGCTTCCTGTCAGGGAACAAGTAGACTCCAATGCTTTTGTCTGGAATACTTGTAACTCTTAAATTCCTGCACCAATACTAGCATTTTATAGCTATTTCTTGTTGTTCTGTGTTTACGTGTGTGCACGTGTAGGAAAAGGGGAGATGTTTTGGCAAACTGATTTTCTTTTATGGTTCTAAAACAGGCTCTTGAAAATAAATAGAAAAAATTATTTTCAAACGCATCCCCAAGTGTTGTTGTAAAGAATAAGATTCATTTAAACATATTTCTCTATGCAGCCTTGGGAAAATAAAAGTTAGGATTATGAGATGACCTTGCTGTGGTGAACATGTAAATGTACAGCGTGAATGCTCAGATGGAAGGTAAATGCACGCAGGAGGGTTTCATTAGGCAGCTCCAATGTGCCTCTGTCTCTGCTGAGCACCACGGGGTGGGTGCTGCAGCCAATGGTGCCTGCTTAGCCGTGGGGTGGCTGCCCACGGCCCCCAGGGAAGACGACATGCCCGTGTGTCCCTGTCCCCTGCTCCTGGCATTGTGGGGAACGACACATATTGAGTAGTGTCCTCTCCTTCAGTGAAGTGGCTTTGAGAACATCTGAGTTTCATTTCACACTTGGCTTCTTTCTCATCTGTGAAATGATTTATCGGGTAGGTTTTCTTGTCTAAACATGCGTTTCACACAGTTTCTCTGAGGAAGGAATATTATTGATACTGTGGAGGAAAATGGTGTAAATTAGAGTATGATGGTTTTTCTCTGGGTCAGAAACTGTCTCTGCGGATGTCACAGCTGATTCCAGAAGTCACCGGAACAGAGGGACAGCCACTCCGAGTGACAGGAAGCAACACGGCTCGGGCTCCTGTGCGTTCAGACTTCTGCAGTCATTGGGGGGCTGCTTCCAGGCGACTGTCTGCTAACTCCAAGGAGGACCTCTGGGTTTCCGTGCCTTATATATCAGAGACAGGACAAGCATCTTCAATGCTGCGGTTCTGTTTCTGCCTGGAAACTCTACTTCCTTGTTGGCCTGTCTTGATTTGAAGAAATGTGACTGTATTTGGCTCCCCTGCCCCGCCCCGTTGCAGGCTTCAGCAAATGAAAGACATGCTTCACGTAGCATTATGTTTTACTGGGCAGTGGAGTTTCCTTCAGGAACACCCGGGACTGTCCCCCAAGGGCTGGGTTGAACATGCTGCCTCAGTGACCTGCAAAGACCAGGCCAAGCGACCCAGTCAGCAGTGTGCCTGTTTATGTGAAGAGGTAGGGAATGTTTTTTGAAACTTGAGAAAGTAGAGAATTTAAGTCAAAACTGGAAATGGAAGTCAGGCAGGCTGTTCATAAACTGTTTTGGCCAATAGAGTAAAGTTGATTTGAAGTCACAACTGAGGGACACATCAACGCTGTTGGTGCCTGGGGATTTAGCTCAGTGGCACCATGCCTACCTGGCAAGCACAAGGTCCTGAGTTTGATTCCTGGTACCAAAACAATGGGGAAAAAAAGGCTGTTGGCCACCAGGGCACCATAGAAGGACTCTAAGGAAATGCTGGCTGCAGAGCTAGCCCTGCTCCCCAGGACCAGTGAAGTGTCCCTGTCCCAGGGGAGAAAGGCCACCTTTGCCTGCCAGCCAACCCGTCCTACCCTGGCTTCTACTCAGGGTCCAGCGTCTATTCCGTTGTCCTAAGCAGGGTCTCCTCCCTCCCCTCCCTGTGAAGCAGTTTCGGGGCACAGTCTCTGATCAGCCTCCTTCGCGTGGCTAAAATAAGACAGTGCCTGGGGAAATGCTTTGGGGGTGATTAGCTCTTTCATAGAAAAGTGAACACCTGGAGGTTTGAAGCCTCCAGGTAAAATCTGAAAACTAGACTGCACCTGAAAGGCCCCTCTCGGGTTCTGTGTTCGGAACCTCAGGGCTTTGCAAACACACCAGGCCTCTGACCAGTGCTTGTTGCCTGCTCTCAGCCAGGTTGCAGTGGGGTCAGCTGCCACACACTTCCCCCGAGGTCACCTGGATGCAGAGTGAAAGCAGAGCCCCCAGGGGCCTCTCTGTCCCAAGATACCAAACAGCCAGGACAGCAGGTAGAGAATCCTCACGTCAGCGACCACATTAGGGATCAAACCATGCTTTTGGACAAGCATCTGTGAGTGTGATTGCCTCCCTCGACCTCAGACCCACACTGGTGGAGAGCTGGCTTCACGCACCTGGCCACGGCCCCTGTGCCAGTAGAGAAGAGGCATGGGGAAGGCTCTGGACACCCGGAGACAAGCGCCCAGGAGCTCCTCTTGGCCATGAGACTGGGCCAGACTCAGGACGTGATCGTGTGACCCAGCAGGGGACGTGCCAGCCTGCAGTCCCAAGAGACCAGCTTACCTTGTGGCCCAGCCCGGCCAGGGCTGGAGGGCATCGGGAGAGCTGGCAGGAAGGAGCGGCCTGGTGCTCGGTGCCTCCTGCTGGACTGTAAAGGAAAGAGGTGCTGTGGGCTGAGTGGTCCCAAGACTCCTGCGTGGAAGCCCAAACCTCCCGGACCCCGAGTGTGACTGCACGTGCAGGGCCGCAGTGAGGTCACTGGCAGGGCCCCAAGCCTTATGGGAAGCGGCGATCAGGACACAACACACACAGGGACACACGCAGTGACACGGGCAGGCCTCACTCATGACGCAGCTGCTGTGGAAGAGCCGGAGGGGCTGCCACTCCGCACGGCGCAAGTTGGGCAGTGAGGGCCAGGGGTTCCCTGGTGCTGAGCACAGAGGCCAGCAGCCCCCCAGGGTCCCCAGAGGTGCAGGCGCCAGGGTTCAGCAGGAGTGGGCGATGTCACCAGGTCTCGCACACAGATGCA